TGCTGAGCCCCCCACCAACCCCCCATCACAGTGCTGGGTCAGGCCCTCTCATTGAAGCTCTGCCTCTTGTTTACAGGCCTCTACTTTGCAGCATAATGTCCTTCTCCAGGGACAGATTCTTCCTTATAACAAACCCAAGGTTTGCGAGTCAGTCCACCACACCTTTCCTAAGGCCATTCTGGCCGTCCTGCTGTTATGCTGGCAGTCCATGGGATAGTCAGTGTCCTTTACCAACACCACGATGCACATCCTTCATCTTTTGTCTTCCTGTTCATTGCCAACTTTCTTATGTACGTGAGTCAGGCTCGGCATACTGTGGGCCCTCTGCTGCTGCTCCTGGTCTGCTGGTTCTGACTCACAGTGGCCTGTGGATTTCAGAGCAGAACTGTTCCACAGTGTTCTCTTGAGGGTATAACTGAAGTAAATGACCAGGACTTTTTTCCGAGGTGCCCTTGGATGTATTCAAACTACCAACCTTGAAGTCAGCAGTTGAGTGAAAGGTATTTGCACCCCATAGGGACCTACAGCTTCCCCTCACTGCTCTTTGATAGGCTAAGGGCATAGACTTCTGTTCCTATTTGCTGTGAATCTTTATGATAAATGTGCATTGAATTTTGCCAAATGCTTTCTTGTACCTTCTTAAATGATATACAGTCTCTTCCATTTTGCTTATATGTTTAGCTACAAAGCTTGGTCTTCTTGAAGGACAGGCTAACCTTGTAGTCCTGAGAGAATCTTAATTCAGTCTCAATGTGTTTATCAATTTACAAAGTCTCGTGATTTTATTTGTCTGGTAGAAATTGTTCTGTGTTCATGAGGAATACTACAAGGAGGTTTCTCTTTAATGTTTGTTACGTCAGCGTCCTGGGGTGGTGCTGACCTCAAAATGAGGGAGCACATGCCCCTTCTTCCTCTGTTCTCTGATCTGGTGTGTAACCCTGTTGCCACCCCGCGAACCACAGGTCAGATCCTGGCCATGTCTGGCACCACCCTCATGATCTCTGTCCTGCTCAAGTTCTTTGAGAGTCACTGTCTCAAACCATCACACTGAGGCTCTTCCTCTTTCTCTGGCCCTCGACCACTCCCAGCATGATGTCTCTCCAATGACTGGCTTCCGCCTGAAAATATGGTCAAAGTAAATGAGACAAAGTTTCACCATGTGGCTTCTAAAGGGCACTCACTGTAGGTGCACTTCCTCCCAGACCAACTTGTGTGTCCTTTTGGCCATCCTTAGGATGTTCAATAGTCTTCACCAACGCCATTCTCAAAGACATCAAAGTCATCTTCTGTTATATATATTTGTCGCCCCAACTTTTTCAGATGCATAGAAAGCAAGTGAAAATACCCTGACCTAGACCAGGTATTCCTTTGTCCTTAAACAGACATCCTTGTTCTTCAGCACTTTAAAGAAGTCCCTGATGGCCGATCTCCCCAGTGCAGCACGTCTTCTGATTTCTTGACTGCTGCTACCATAGATGTTAATGATGGATTAAAAAAAAAAAATGATGGATTCAAGTAAAACGAAAGCTTCAACAACTTCAATAGTTTCTCCATCTGTCATTATACTGCCTATTGGTCCAGGGAGGAGGATTTTTGTTTATTTATCGTTAAGGTGTAACTCATATTGAAGGCTGTATAGTTTTTGATGTTCTGAGCTAGTGTTTAGTGTTTCAAGTCCTCTTTGCTTTCTGCAAACAAAGGTGTATCAATAACACAGGTTGTTGATGAGTCTTTGTCCAGTCCTGATGCCACATTTTCTTTATATATTCCAGTTTCTTAAATTATTTGTTCATCATATATATATTGAATAGGATATGGAAAATGGATGCAACGCTGATGCAAATTTCTTTTTATGATTTTAAATCATGCAGTGTTCCTTTGTTCTGTCTAGACAACTGCTTCTTGGTCTATGTATAAAGAAGCCAAAACAAAAGGAAGAGCTGCCAACATACAATTTCAAAGAGGAACTCAGAAAAACAAAGTAAAGTATAAAATGTGCAAGGAGCTGCAATTAGAAAAACCAGCATGCCAACATCTCTCAAGCTGAAAAAGGATAAGAATTCATTCCATTCTCAAGTTGCAATACTAATGGATTCTATGAACAAAATCTTGAACAATCCAGGAAGCATCAAAAGATGGAAGGAATACACAGAGTCACTGTATCAAAAAAAAAATGATTGACTAAACCATTGCAGAGAATATTATATGTCAAGAACCAATATTACTGAAGGAAGAAGTCCAAGGTGCATTGCAAGGCACTGGCAAAACGAACAGCCTCGAGAATTTATGAAACACCAACTGCAGTGTTCCAGAAAACAGAAACAACCTTGGACTTGCTCACCAGTCTTTGCCAACAAATATGGAAGAAGGCTGCCTGGCCAACTGACCCGAAGAGTCTATTATTTGTTTTCATTCTCAAAAAAAAAAAAACCCAAAAAAACAAAACAAAACAACCTGATCCAACAGAATGTGGAAATTATAGAATATCCTTAACATCACATGCAAGTAAAATCTTGCTGAAGATTGCTCAAAAATTACTGAAACTGTCCATAGATGGAGTACTGTCAGAAATTAAGTCTGGATTTGGAAGAGGCCATGGTATAAAACATATCATTGCTGATGTCAGGTAGATCTTGGCTGGAAGCAGAGGAATACCAGTAGGGTCTTGACTTGTGCTTTGTTGATCTACAAAGACATCTGACTGCACGGATCATTGCAAATCATGGCTAACACTGAGAAGAACAGGGTCCCAGAACACTCAATTGTGTTCATGCAAAACCCACTTCCTCACTAGACACACGTGCTCGGATTTTCTAATTTCTCCTTATTTCCATTTTTGCAATTTGTCTTTTTTCAGGAAATTTATCCATTTCACCTAAGTTGCTGAATTTATTGGCATAAAATTAAATTTCATTTAAATTAAAAATTAAATATGGAACACTTACAGTATTCTTTTGCCTTCTGTAGACGGTGTGATGATGACCCCTCTTCCAAGCAGTAATCATTTATGGTCCTATCTTTTGCATCTAGCTAGGCATGAAATGTCGTTAAACGTTTCAAGGCATCAAACACTGGCCTTGATAATTTCACTATTGACTGTTTTCTCTTTTCATTTATTTTTACTTTCTTATTTTGTCCTTCCTTCTAGATTTCTTCCCTACCCCCACCCCAACCTGCTAGGCTGGAATCTTGGGATTTCTTTTCCCCCAAAACTGATAGGCTGGAATCTTGGGCTGCTGAAATTCAGACCTCACATTTTTCTGCTGTTGTCAGCATTTCAAGCACTACCTTGGCTGGATGCCATAAATTTCAGTGGTATTTTCTTTATTCAGTCTGTTGAAAATATTTTCTAAATTCCCTTGTTACTTCTTTGATCCATGAACAATTTAGAGGGATGCAGTTTCATTTCCAAATATGTGTGCTTTCCTTGTTATCCTCTTATTTTCTGCTTTCATTCCACTATAATTGGGACTATTCCTCATCTGACCTCAAGCCTTCTAGATTTGAGACGTGATCTACGGCCCATCATCTGGTTGACCCCATGAACTTCAGGGTATCCTCCTGGCTTCAGGCTTAGTGAGCAGCAGCTTGGACGGGACAATTGAGTGCCCTGTCCTGCACCTGAAAGACATTTGATCTCCTGCACTGGCCTGTCCCTGGACACTGCTGCCAATGAGGAAGGGTGGGACACTGACCCTAGTGGAGGCCAGTTGCAGAGAGGCAGGCCTTATAGCAAGGGCTCGCTAGCAGAGGGATGAGTAGGCCTGTCCTGAGGGATTATATTTAACCCATCGGTGTCCACTAGTGGCTCTGTCCAGAGAGCACCTGGGTGGCCCAGCATTTCACCCACTAGAGTCCCATTTACCCATTGTGGGACACACACACACTGACCCTTATTGAGGGTCGTCAATGCCTAGGGCCCACGAGCAGAACAGAAGGAAAGAGTAGAGCTCAAGGGAGGTCCTGCCCCGCTGGGGCCTGCCATCCAGGACACTGCAGATATGTGTCCCAGTGAAGCTCAGAGGGTCAGGATGCCTCTGCTCTCCACAGGTTCTATCTCGTCAGCGGAGGGGTGCCTTTCATCATCTGTGGGGTCACAGCAGCCACAAATATCAGGCACTATGGGGCTGAGGACGCAGAAGCTGCATAGTGAGTATTCATGGCAGAAGGTGGTTGGGGACACTGAGTACCTGCTGGACAAGGTGTGGGGACACAGGGAGTCCCTGCTGAATAAGGTGTGAGGACACAGTCCCTGCGACATGAGGGAGGGACGCAGTGAGTACTCACTGAGCTAAGTGGTGGGGACATAGTGAGTGCCCGCTGGACAAGGTGGTAGGGACAGAAAATACCTGCTGAACGAGGGGTGCAGACAGTGAGCACCTGTCTATTACAGGTCCAACTATGCAAGGTAGTGGGGCCACAGTGAGCACTCACAAAATAAGGCAGCTGGGGACACTAAGTACTCACTGAGCAAGGTGGGGGGGGACACTGTGAGTACCTGCTAGACAATCTGTGGGCACAGAGGAAGCAACTGCTGAACATGGTGGTTGGGGACATAGTATGTGCTGCAGGTCACAGTGCCCCCTCCACCATGGCCACCCGACCCCACCAGTCTAAGGTCATGGCATAGCTTCAGCTGACCTTCCAGACCCTCAGGTCATTGAATGTCTTCCCTAATGCAGTGAGAACCCCTCCTCTCACCCTCCCACATTGGCTATCTGCTACAGTCCTATGTCAGGTCATGACCTTGCTGAGGGGAAGAGGGGCAGCTGACCACTCAGATGCAGGGACCCTTTGTGGATGCCTCAGATCCTGAGCTCCAGACAGCCTGGTTCCCCCGTGCCTGCCTTAACCGCACACCTCCCGCAGCTGCTGGATGGCCTGGGAGCCCAGCCTGGGTGCCTTCTATGGGCCAGTGGCCCTCATCAGCCTGGTCACCTGCCTGTACTTCCTTGGAGCCTACGTCCAGCTGCACCGCCACCCTGAATGCAGGTACGAACTGCGGGAGCGGACTGACGAGCAGCGGCCAGCGGGGCCAGAAATGGCCCGAGGCCACCGGGCAGCACAGACCACGGAGCCAGAATGCAACGGCCTGGCCGCATCACTGCTACAGAACGAGCACTCCTTCAAGGCGCAGCTGCGCGCTGCGGCCTTCACACTGTTTCTCTTTGCCGCCACCTGGGCCTTCGGGGCGCTGGCCGTGTCGCAAGGCCACTTCCTGGACATGGTTTTCAGCTGCCTGTATGGCGCCTTTTGCGTAACGCTGGGGCTCTTCGTGCTCATTCACCACTGCGCCAAGCGCGAGGACGTGTGGCATTGCTGGTGGTCCTGCTGCCCCTCGCGCAAGTGCCCCGGTGCTGCGCAGCCAGGTGCCAATGGGGACTGCCTGCAGGGCTCCCCGCACCCTGGGCATGCGCCCTGCGGCCACCCTGGCGCGGGCCACTGCAAGATGACCAACCTGCAGGCCGCCCAGAGCCACGCCCACTGCCTGTCCCCCGTCACTCCCTGCTGTGCCAAGATGCACTGCGAGCAGCTGATGGGCGAGGAGGCTCTGGGGCACGGCCTGGAGGACGCGTTCGTCCATGGCCCACACTCACACCGGTGCCTCCAGGGCAGGACTCAGCCGCCCTTGTTCGGCCGGGAGCCGGAGTACGCCTACCACATCCCGTCCAGCCTGGACGGCAGCCCCCGCAGCTCGCACACAGACAGCCCTCCCAGCTCGCTGGAGGGACTAGAGGGCACGCTGGCCTGCTGCGTCCAGGGGAACCCCTTCCCTGTGGCCAGTCAGCCCGAGGGCAGCTGCGCCGCACTCTATGGCTGCACCCCAGCACACTTTGAGATGCTCCACCGGACACAGTCCCTGCCCTTTGGCCCCGGGCAGAACGGGACCCTCAAGGGCACGGTGCTAGAAGGCCGGCCCTACGGCGCCGATGGCACGGGCAACATCCGCACTGGCCCCTGGAGGAATGAGACCACTGTGTAGGGGGCTCATCCTCCCGCGCCCTCGCACGGCTCACCTGTTCCCCTGAGAATCCCGGAATAGTGGGCACCGGGCCACGCGGGTTCCCCCGGAGCGATATTCCCAGGCTCCACTGCTGAGGACCGGCGGGAAAGCCCCCGGAGCGCCCCTCGCTGACCTCGTGTCGACAGCGCCCAATTCCGGGAAGTGGGAACTTGGTGATGCGGACAGACGGACGTGCGCCCGTCAGTCCCACCCACTGCGCCTGCGCGTACGATTGGCGGATGCTTCCACAGCCCAAAGCAGCTGGGCCCTGAGGCGAGTGCCTGGCTCACCACAAAGGACCCTGGGCCACCTCGCCACAGCGCTGGGCCTGCGCTCAGATCGCCTGCGGGGGAGACAGAGCCACTGTTTTGGAAAGTCCGAATGCTGTAGTGGGCCTAGGCCTACCTGGACCTCGTCCCAGCACAAGGGATCACGACAATAAAGGTCTCCGCTCCGCAAGGAGGGCTGGCGGAGGCCTCCTCATGGTCATGGTCACGGTCACGATTACTTCGCCGTGTTACACCTCCGTGATCTCTGGGCACAAAGCCTCAACTCTGTACACCGGGTGTCCATGGCCATGAGCATCACACAGCCGGGTTCCCGCGTTCCCCTGGACCTAGATCGCCCTCATCCCAGTCATTGATGCGTGTGTGCCTCTCACCCGCACGAGTCAGACACGCACACAGATGCACACACTCATAACCAGCAGACACACAAAACTCACATTCTCGTGCGCTCACACACTCACCCTTACATTGCTCAAGCTCTCACATGCCCACACCCGGCTGTGCACAGGCACTCAAGTCAGACCCTCGCACCCTCAAACTCTCAAGTGCACACTCACGAGGTCACTTGCTCTGAGCTGTGGGAACCCTGGGCCTGTTCCCTTCTGTGCGCTTTCACAGTCACTGGTGCCAGTTGGATGCATCTGTCCTCACTGTGCTGATGGGTGAGGGTTCACCAGGACCAGGGGCTCCCACCAGCATGCCCTGGAGGGCCCTGTGGACAGTGTCCTGCTCACTGCTGAGGGGAGACTACTGACGGGGGAAGGCACAAGGTCTCTGGGAGGCACATGCTTCCTTGTGTTTTTGTAGACAGGAAGCGCTGTACCATCACCACCATGTACCCTGACCATTGAGAACCCCTCCTGCTCATCATTAATGCCTGTCAGAGGCACCAGCAGCCTCTGTTTCAACCCCTGTCCAGTCTGTGTCCACCTCTGCAGACCTGCTTCTGTAGCTGGCTCGGCTGTAGCCGTCTGTTCTAGTTGCAGGGCCAGCAGCTTGGGCAAAATACAGCGTCTGTGTTCATCATGAGGCTGGCATGGCCCTGGGTGTCTCGTGTTTGTGTGAAGGATGCTGTTGTCCCCTCACACCCATGTCAGGGAGGACTGAGGAGGCCCCTGCACACTCCCGACCCTGAACTCGTCACAGGACAGGGTCTGGGAGCCTTTTTTCAGCCACTGGCACCCACGCAGGACAAAGCTCACCCCATTATCCAAACCAAAGAAAGTTACTCTAGCCATTAAAGCCCCATGTGCTGGTGCAGGTTTGACCTGAGCCTGTGCTTGGGAACGGTGCTTGACACCATCCACATTACACGAATTTTAGAGTATGACATTCGCAGCGTGACCACTGTGTCAAAGAGTTTGCATGGCACTAGCTTCAGAGAGGATGTGGAGAGTAGATCCAGCCCAGTCTTATCGTTTGAGATGCCTTTTTGTGTCATTTCTTCCATTGTACCTGTGTATAACTGTGTGTGCCCATGCTTGTCAGTGTGTGTACTTGCTGGGAAAGGCTCGTGCAGGGTGCATGTATGTGAGGGATTCTGTGCAACAGTGAGTGTATGTGCATGCATGCGTATGAGTATATGAGAGTATATGCGTGTCTGCATGTGTTAAGTGCCTGTGTGTGCAGGTGAGTATGCCATGCGTATACGTGAGGGTGTGGATGTTTTTGTGTGTGTATGCATATGTCTTAACTATCTGCTGCTACTATATCATAAATATTACAACACTTTAACAAACAAAAATCTATTTTCTCACTGCGTAGGAGGCTAGGCACCACAGCCTGGACACCAGCTCTGGGGAAGGCCTGTCTCTCCATTCTGGTTCCAAGGGAACCTGTGTGGCTAGATGTCTCTCGGCCCCTCTCCTGTTTCAACTCAAGACACACCCACTAATCTTACCTTCTAAGCAAAGATGAGCTGTTCTCAGATGGGTTAATACCAGGCATGAGGTTAGGGTTCACCAACACCATGTGGGGACACAATTCCACCCGTGGAGGCATGTGTTGTGTGGTTGTGTGCATGCACACACATGGGTTCATGTGAGAGCAGTGTAACAAGCGAAGCTCTTTCCACTCCCTCTGTCCCATGTGACCTGGGTGGCCGCCCCACTCTCTCGGCTCAGGGACCATCAGGAGCCATGAGAGCAGCCCCTTCCAGGCCACCGTGTCCTGCAGAGATGGCAGCCTCACTGTGCTCCACCAGGTGGTGCCAGCAACACACAGAGCTCTGCGTGGAACTCGGGCTTCTGGACAGTTCACCTAGGACTTGGACCATGATGGCGGCCTAGGTACAGGGCAAGCTCCCTGGGAGGCCACTATGGTACAGCCAGCATGCACACGGATCAGGGCTGCCCCCCTCCTCACACCCAGGCAGCCCACCTGTCACCGCTGAGCAGACCCCTGGCACAGGCTTCCAGCATGAAGGACTCTGCGTGACTGTCCACAGGACTGGCGACTGGCAGACTCTGTGCTGGGCAGAGGCTGGTGAATGCAAGATTCTGTTTCCTGGCCAGCTGGGGTCCTGGGAGCAGTGCCAGTACCTGGGGCTCAACTCAGCAGGTCCACAGGCATCCACACCGTTTCTGCATGAACAGTGGGCAGTCAGCCTCCTTGCAAACATTTCCTGCAGGTTGTCTGTGGCCAGGTCCACCTTACCCTGCAGACACCTGGCTAGCATCAGATTGCCGGCCCGCCACACAATCAAGGATCACCCTCCCCATCCTTGGACCCGGGCTTTTAGGGACACCTCCTGCTTGAGCAAACCATCTGCAGGTGTTTCCTTCAAGGTTTAGATGAGACTTTGAGAATGAGACCACCAGAAGACAAGGGCCAGGGTCTCTTCCTCTGTCTGGCTTTTCAAATTTAATTCAGTGCTTGGGAGAGAAGGTAGGAGCCAGTCCCATGGACAATGGCCAGCAGGAGGTAGCAGCCCATGTCTCTATGTTGAGGGCAGGAAAGAGGGAGAGAAGGGATCAGGCAAGGCAAGGGGCTTTGGGGAACAATCTCTGAGTTACCCCAAGTCTCCCGGAGGGAGAAGTAACATGTCAGCCAGAAAGGACGGCCAGGGCTGAGGCAGGCCCCCAAATGACCAGCCAGGGCTGAGGCAGGCTCAAGAGGGGCAAGCTAGGGACAGGACGGGCCCATGACGGGAGACGGGGAGGACTCAGCCTCACTGTTGGTGCACAAATAGTAAGCCAGGAGAAAGCAGCCAGATGAGGAAGGCCCCCAAGTCACCAGCCAGGGCCAGGCCGGCCCAGGAGAGGCCAGTTGGGGACAGGCCAGCCCAGGAGAGGCCAGTTGGGGACAGGGCAAGCCCAGGAGAGGCCAGTTGGGGCCAGGCCGGCCCAGGAGAGGCCAGTTGGGGACAGGCCAGCCCAGGAGAGGCCAGTTGGGGACAGGGCAGGCCCAGGAGAGGCCAGTTGGGGACAGGGCAGGCCCAGGAGAGAGCAGCCAGGGCCAGGCAAGCCCAGGAGACTGGGAGTGGGGCAACAGGAAGCCAGCCAGAGGTCAGGGTAAAAGATGCCACAGATACCAGAGCCAAAAAGAGGCCTCCGTGGCTGAAAGGACAAGGCCAAAGCCAGTCCAGGAGGAGGAGAAGGCAGGCATTCCCATCCTCTGTGTTCTGTCCCCAGTGTCATGCTGTCCTTGTATTCCAGCTCTCACCCTAAAGTGCTCACTGGCCACTAGGGCCTGAGACAGCACCAAACCCTGGAAGTGACCTCAGCATCTAAGGAGACCAGGTGGTACGAGCTTTACACACACCCACACCTGAACCAATGCCTGGTTGTGTTCCTCACAACCCAGAGTTCAGAGGGGCGATAGTGTCCACAGGCCCAGTCACTACCACAAGGCCTCTCAGAAGGAAGGGAGACTGGTCCCTCATGAGAAACCCAGCTCTGTGGGGGCCTCACAGGAGCAAACAGGAATGGGGTGTGTCAGGTCAGCAGAACTCCTGCCCAGCACTCCTGACCACAGGATGACCAGGCATGGGGAGGACAGCCAGGCCAGGGGAACCCCAAACCCTCTTCAGGAGAGGAGCCAAGAAAGGCCTGTGATCTGAAATGGTGGCTTGGGAGGAGGCCTGTGGGGGTGCACAGGTATGGGCAGGGTCAGCCCACACAGAGGACTGGGCAGGTCACTCTCAGACACACACAAAAGAGGTCATGGCTCCCCTCATCCCAAAATATAAGAAGATCCCAGAAAGCTCACCAATCAAGAGAAGTGATTGTTTGATGTTTTTAAAAAATCAAAATGTTAATATAGGCAGAGTGAGGGGTCCTGAGCAGTAGGAATGCTGAACAGAAGTGAGTCAGGACCACCGGGCCCCCTCTGGGGCCAAGGAGAGCCGAGGGTCATCACGTGCTCATCCTCCCATAGATCAAACCTGTGCACGTGGCCCATGTGTCACCAGAAGAGGAGACAGCGCGCAAGCTGACCACGTGCAGAGAAAAGCCTCCACTATGTTCGAGTGGCATGTGCAACATGACACATGTCCGGAAGCCAGCCACGTGTCCCTCTCCAGCCACAAAACGCTGACCTAGCAATAACTGCAAAGGCATCACTGGAAAACTCCCACACGCTTCAAATTTAGAAATAAGTTTGACCCACGAGTCCCAGAAGAAGTCACAATATAACCTGGAGAACAGTCTACGGAGGGAGCCGGAAACAGACCCAGACTTGCGGAGCTGAAGC